CACTTTTTGGGAAACATAACTTTCTCTTTCCTCCCATAAAATAGTTACTAGAAAGCAATTTGCTATTGAAAGCATAGTTGGGAGGCTTAACTACACAAACCTTTGGTTGTGACTTGTGTTAGACACAATAACACCGTTTCACTTTTGGTTTCCTGCAAAATGATTATTTTTACAACCAAAACAGAAGACCATAAAATCTCAAGTTATTCAAAAGTACTCAAAGATAAGAAACTTCTTCAACTGACAAATGACCAATTCTTTGCTAGAAGAGAGGTTCAGATGAATCTTCTTCACATTTAAATGAAAAGAGTGCATGGAGAATACACATTCTGGTAAGTTTTCCTTACCAGTGGAGAGAGAGAAAAGGAGACAGGACTGAATAGGAGCGATTGGGCATGAAGTAGTAACTATGAGGTCCTGGAGGCAGGAGAACAAGAGAGGGAAGGAAAAAAAAAGAGAAGAGAACCCAGTAGAATGACAAGAGGGAGGAGGGGGGAAGGAAAGGATATATAGTGGTTATTTAAGAGATGCCAAGGAAAACTGGGATGCATGTGTGTTTGTTTGAGGAAAAAAGAGAGACAACCTTGAAATACAGAAATTGAGCCAGGAACTACAAAGCTTTACTAGAAATAATCTTGGGGATATTGTTGCATGTCTAAGATGTGAATTGTGGGTTTTTTTCAGTTTGGGATTTTTTTATCTCAGTGTCATAGCATATTTTTTTTCATACAACAAAATGTAAACTAATCTCTGAATTACAAATGTGTTATGGTTAATTTACTTCATGGGCCAAAATAACACAGCCACTGCATTTATTTCATGTGGCTGCTCAAAATCCTGGAGAATTGGAGAATTAGAGGAGCCTGCTCCCTCATCTACATTCTGTGACAGTGTGAGAACAGTGGTTAAGGGCACCATCACCAATATTCTTTCCACATGAAATGCTAACTTTCTAATCATATTAGTAAGAGTGAGTGTGGAGAGAAGATGCTTCATTGCAGCAAGTAATAGCCATAAATAAATAGCACAAAACTGACTTCTTGCACATAAGAATCAAGCCCTGTGAGTGTATCATTTTGTGAAGGGGGATGTGTGTGACTCTGTGTGTCTGTGTCCGATGTGTCTGTGAAAAGTGCCTGTGGGGGAACACATTCTGATACAACCTCTGCTTCAAGACCAACACCAATCTGAACCAAATCCCAGAGGAAAATCTCTGCACCCCCTGATGCCTGCTTCGTGCAGGACTGACCCCTTCGGCTCTCTCTCAGCATTCACCCATCTCTTAAGCCAGATTTAAAATCACAAAGGTGAGGGGAAGAAAGATGTCTAGCTCCATACACTGTCATTTTTATCTAGTCAAATAGGCATTTTCAACAGTGTCCTGTCAAGAACAGTTCTTTCAATTCATGTGTGCATATTGAAGATGCCAACTTCAAGTCAGACAAGTCAGTTTATTACAACCAGTCCCTGGCCAGTGCAAACGTGTCCTGGGAAATGCTTATGAATGTATGAGATGCTTACATAAAATAGGATCATTTGCTTTTATATGAGGTTGCTTTTCCTTTTTTTCTCTTCCAAGAAAAGCCATTTGTCTGTCTAAATAGTTCCTACAGTAACTGAAACACTCTCATGTAGATATTTTGTAAGGTAAATAAGCTATGTTGTTTTAAAAAATAAGCAAAAAGGGGATAAAATTGCAGGCTCTTTAAAGGTATCTCAGTAGTAGGCTGGAGAGCAAGCCTTCTGGCTGAACTGCTCACTAACAGTGATTTCTTCCTAGGAAATTCCATAGCGCAACAAAGCCAAATGCATTCAACCCTTGGCTCATCTGAGTGTGGAAGGGAAATCAACTTTCAGTCGAATTTCTTCTCCCTAGATCTCTTAAATGACTTTAAAAGCTCTGCCTGTGGTAGTGGGGAACCTCGGTGGCAGGTTCCTTTTGTGAAAGCCATAAAGCTGGATAAAATGAAGTGGCCGGCTACTTTCCAAAACAGTGCAGCAATCCCTTTATACAGACTTCCGAAAATTAATGAACAACTTTGGGACCAGCGGTCTCGAGCCTAAAATTTAAAGGTTAATATCCACTCATTAGCAAGGTTTATATCAAAGGAAAAATGTGTTGATGTAGGGTACTTGTTCTCAGAAAATTCAAAATAAAGAAGATCTTGGGTATGTTGTGTTCAAATCCACTTACTGCAGCCCTGTGCCCAGGCGAATTAAGTCCAAGCAAAATATAATTGTCAGAACCTGATTATACTCAAGATGTTTTCTGAGTTCCTAATCACTGTGGATCCTATTTAACAAAGTGCTGGAACATGTGCTTGAGTCCAACAGATTTTTTTATGTTGGAGGCCCCAGAGATGAACCCAGTACTGCAGGTGAGAGTACTCAAGCCAGGAGTGAGGTGCAAGAAAATCATTACAAGGGGGCTAGTGCTGAAGGAATACATTTAATATATAATATTAATTCTGCAAAAATACATTTCTGTATAAATGCATTATGAAATGGTAGGAATGGCAGCAGCCATGATCACTAAACTCGTGCAAGAAACTGCATTTTTTTCTTAAGAGATGGGGAAATGTCTACTCCATATCACCCAGCCACTGAAAGCAGCAACGTGCAGTTAGCACTCTTTGCAGATAAAAACAGAATTTTCTACATGGTATCTATAGCCCAGTGAATAATTGCATTAATTAAGCTAAAGAAGATTAAGAATAGTAGGTGTATCTATCTAAAACATTTCCCAGATTCTAGTAACATCCTTTGTATTGTATGCATGTAATTGATTCCTGTTTGCTTGCTTTTTAATTCATTGAGCGTTTTTTACTGTGAGTGCTTTTACCTCTATTCCCCCTATTTTGCAATAGTCACTATGGGTCTGATGTACCATTGCAACTTCTTATCTTGCTGCTGTAAGTCCTGTCAGGCAGCACCAGGAACGTGAGTGACCAGGGAAATTATGTAAGCTTGTAGGTAGACACTGGAGATGAATTAAGGTAAGGACGGCAAAGCCAAGGTGGCTTATGCTCACTGGGACTCCCTGAGAGAAAATTAAATTCTTGGCACATCTAACTGAAACTTATTGTTTCCTTTTATGATAAAAAGACTTACATGTACAGTGTGTGAGATGGCAAGTGCATATTAAAACCAGAAGAACTACAAAACAAATTACTAGCATAAAAGTGCTAGAAACGTGATATAATTTGTGGCTTTATTGTGTTGAAAAGTGTGTCTCTGATTCTCCCTGCTTGGGTCTTCACATTCTTCCTTAAGAGTTCATCAAAACTAAGTGATCACAGAACTTGCACTGCTTCATACACAGTGTTTTATTTTATGTTTGGATATCACTGATGTGCAAGGGACAAGCTATTTTCCTGCTCAAGATCCCACAGAACAATTGTGTGTTGGACACTGGGTAAATATACTGAGCTGGCTGGAAGACTGCTCAACTGCTGCTAGTGGCTGACAGCTGCTCTATGGCATTGGCTGTAGCCCACAGCAGAAGGCAGCACAGGAAGGCTCAAACTGCAGGATTTTTCCAGCAAAGCATATGCATTTCTTATGTGCAGAGGTAAGCACAGGTAAAAATCAACACAGTCTGGACTTCAGTTTTGTGAGATTATATACGTTAGAAAGGGTTTGTAGAACTAGGCTTGATATCTCTCAGCACTGGTGCTGGATTTCCACTCATTTTGTACTAGGATCTTCTTGTAAATCCCCTGCTGGAGCAGGTCAGTGGTTACTTAAAGGGATGGCATTTCTGTAATTATCTGATTATTGCTCCAAGGTTCTTTCCTATGTTTGCTAAACCTTCATTCTAGTGAACATATAACCCCACACTATTGAACTTGAATAAAATGTGATTGAGAATCAACAGTAATTCCCCAGTAGTCTTTGGAGCAGGTACTGTTTGCTATCTTTTTTCTGCTTTGAAAACATGGAGCTCAAACCTGGTCATTCTGAATAGAGTGGAAAATTTTTAAGGTAGTGCAGTGTGGTAGTGAGATTGTGATTCTCCATTAGATTCTTTACATTGGCTTAAAAAAAATCATGGGACATCTATTTATCTAATGAATTCTGTAACAATTTGGGATGATTACTCAATTACTTGCTGTTAATTTCATTCTTAAATTCTGAAATTTTCATTAATGAATCAACAGTGAAATGGACCCTATTTAAATTCAGCAACTTTTCACTTACTTCCCTCTTACTTGATCTTGGCTGGCTTCTTTTAATTCTTCCGTAAGTTCCCTTCTCCTGTGTAAGACACAGGAGTCTAATACAGAAAAAAAAAGAAAAGAAAATGGAAGATGAAGCCTATCTTAAGTTACTTTTCTCTTGGTTCTTACTTTTTAGTTCCCTTCACCTTTTACTATCAGCCATGAATATTATATCTTCATTTGAATTTTCAGCTTCTGAATCATGAGCAGCTGAAGATCCAGTAGTACTGTGTTACTGGATATAACTCAAAGGGTTATGCTGTTTTTACTGTTTGGCACATACTCAGGAAAGGGAACTTAGCTAAGCAGTTGAAGCATATGGCAGGGGGAGATAGGCCAGTGTCTTGGATGAAGATGCATATATTTTGTACTCTCATGGTATGATGCATTCTTGTGCTTTGCAGATGGCACCTTGGAATTGTTGCTCTGAAAACTAATTTTGCCTAGCCACGCAGGTCTGCTGACACAAGCACAAGGATCATCTGTTTCTGTGCAGACACTACTGCATGCTACAGATATCCTAGGCAGGAATATTTCTGAGAAGCACACCTGCATCTTGGTTTCTGTAGGGAGCAGAAAAAAAAAAACCTCAGGAACCTATGACTAGCATTTGTACCCAGAGAGAATAATTCAACCAAACACAATCTCTATCTTCATGTAATATTTGGTTACTGCTTCTCCTAGAAGTTTATTACAGCATAGTCGTCAGAGCAAGCATAGAGGGAATACATGGACTTTATGACAGCTGGAAAGAGGGGTTCATTCTAATTGACAGAGACCTTTGATTTGCCTTTGATTGTTCCCTGTGTACAACCATCAGTCCTCAAAGAAACTGCATTTATATCATGTAGGGCTTACAGCACTAATAGCGGCACTCTCCAAAACTTACTTTTGCTCTGTCTCTGCCTCTCTGTCCCCCACAAAACAAGCATATTAGATATGCAAGTGGCCCAAGAGCTTGCTGAAGTAGTTTCAGGTAATAAATTCTGCCAGCTAACAGAACTGCAGGTTAAGGTATGAATACTTTCCATTCCCTGGAATAATCTGCATTACTTAAAATGATGTCAGGTACAATTTTTTAAAGGACTAGCCTGGGGTGCAGTTTTTCACAGAACTGTATTGCTTCCTCTCCTGTCCTCTTATTATTTGTTGTGCTATGTCCCTGAGCTCAGACAGGTAGATGTATTTTTAGAGACCAATTTGCTGCATGTGAGGTAGGCCTTGTACTCTCTGGTACTAGCTCGTACTGTCAGCTCTTAGATTTCTTTCTCCCCTGCCCCCAAATTTCTGTGATCTCTGTAGGACAGATAGTCTTTAGTATTCGTCTGTGCTTTTTGCTAGATATCCTGAAACAGTTTGGCAGCAAATAAAGCCAAGGCTGATGGACACAAACAGTTAAATACTATTGCGTACCTGCAAGAGGGAGCTAAAGGAGAAGTCTGAATTAAAAACAGATCTGCCAAGCAATGAATGTGATACTGCCTGGAGTAATGTGAAAATTACTGCCAGCTTATTGTGTACCAAAGGGTTCTTCTTTACTTTTTAAATTTGGACAATGATACCACAGCACTATGATTTACAGGACCCCTGAGCAATTGCTTCCACCTTAAGCTAAGACAAGAAAACAGTTGCTGGCATTACCAATAATATAAATCTGCCTGCTACCAGCGGGCTGGAAAACTCAAACACCTGCAGTGCAAGAGATGGGTTCTAGGGAGGAACTTCCTCACATCACACAACTTCCATGGGACACAAAAGACATAGTTTTGACAGCGTGTGAGTAGATAAGAGTATTTGCTGCCTGCAAGTGAAATGCTAAAACAGTAGAGAGGTGCCATAAGCCATCCTGCATTAGGATGTTGCATAAATTATAAGTGGTTTCAGAATGTCCCTCATTACCCACAACAAGGAGCCAATGTGCTACTTTCATAACATAGACTTAAGGTAGATTTGAGGACTCAGAATAGAAAAACATCTGCCTTTTGTATTTATAGTGCTGTGTTTCCCTTGTTTTCCCCATTTTTAGACTCCAGCTGACAACCTCAGGTGCCTGATTTGGGCTTTCTGACTACTATTGCATCCAAAATCTTCAGTGATTCAGAGTGCTACTGACAAACCCAGTACTTTGTACAGTACTGGAGAGAGGCAATTTCCATGCTTAAGTGCAGGTCTGACTGGGACCCATTGCTGTATTTTCTGTTTTATCTCCACAAGCAGGAAGAGTAAATAATTCTGAAGCACTGAGAAAGGCCTTTCCTACTTCCCTGGGTCTCACCTACCATGGGTTTACCATAGAATTACTTCTTTTTTTTTTTTCTGTGGGTTTTGTTTGCTTCAGAAATTAGACTGAGTTTTCTTTTTCTTTCTTGTCACAGCTGAGGAGCAAGAGAACATGAGCAGCTCTTCACTCAAGACTATTTCCAAAAGTATGTTATGCGCAGGAGCATTGCTGAAGTATTTGCTCCTGGCTCTCTTCACTAAAAGCGCGCACAGCACTGGTAGTAAAGAAGGGTCTATGATACATAATTTTTAATTGGCTTATTTAAGAGAAGCCATTTTCTTACTCCTTATCTTGGTCACCAATTTATTTGTACCCAGGCACTTTATCACAGTGCATTTTTGAAATAAAATAAAAATAAAAAATCACCAGAGAAGAATTTGAAGTCTTCAGAGCAAAACATGCTGAGAAGCTGCACTGGGAGGTGGATTCTTTGCTAGATGTAACAGCTCCAAATGGTGGAACAGGAAAAGTCTTGAAAATCGTGGACTGTTTTTCTGTGAGTTAGACATCTGAAAAAGAAGAGCAAAGGAACTGAGAAAGGCTTTGAACTTTACCTTTGTCACAGCAATCTCTAGTTTCACTGTTATTAAGCATAAGTTTGAATGTGTACATTCGGAGGGGGTGGTTTAATAACTGAACAGTGTCTTGAAAACATCAAGGGAAAAAAAATAACATGAATGGAAAGTGAAACTTCACTTGGCATTTCCTTATCAGTTAGTCTATCAAAACTGAAAACCTCAGAGATGAAAAGAAACAGCAGAAGGCGTGGAGAAATCAAAACAGAGGATAAACAAAGAAAGAGACATATTACTGGGTGACTTTAATGAGAAAGAGGCTGTTACTGTACTGAGAAATCAGAGGCTGTTTTGTAACATCCTCTGACACGATATCTAAGGTCATACACACGTTATGTGCCTTACTTGAATTGTCCCTTGAAATCATTTCTGCTGTTCCGTGATGTAAAGTATTAAAAAATGAAATGAAAAGGGAATGAGATGTCAGCATAGCACTATGAACTGAAACTTATTTTTCAGCATTTTATGGGAGGAGAAGACGTAACATCTGAAGCTGAAAATCTATGAGACAGTGCAAATTAGTTTTGAAACAAGTATCAAGAATAAAACACTTGTTAAACTATCTGAGCACTGGAAAGTGAGTCGATTAGTGCTAGCACTGGCACAATGAGATTATTTTAACACGCTGATAGACTGTAGTGATTATCAAATGTGCTCAAGGAAACGGCATCTTGTATTCAAGTCAATCCCATCCAGAACATGATTAGCTTTTAGAGCTCAAGCTTGATTACCTTGACTTGATTAGGTAAAAACCACCACAAAACTAAAACACACTTTGAGCCATCAAATGATCTTTTTTTTCCCAGTGATCTCAGTTAGGGTTAATGTCACATGAGAAAGCAACATAAAACTGGCATAGACAACAATTCTTCTTCGTGAGATTTGCATAGAACTGGTTGTGAAAAAGTTTCCAGATGCACATTTTTTATCGAGCTTTTATCTTAAGAACACTTGAAAGATGTCAGTATATTGATGGAAGTGTTTTAAACATTCTAGAGAGACACACAAAGGAAGAGTTTGTGTATATGGAGCTTGCAGTGGTGCTTCTCACCTAGACTCAAAACTGCTTATAGAAGTTCTTGTAAGATCATGTGTGGTGACTTTCCAAAGAGAGGAAGAAGTGCTGCAGTCTAGTATGACGAGCATGTGCTGTATCCATCTTTCTCTTATTTCTCCAGGTAAAAATTGTTTTTTGTCTGAGAACATTGTCTGGTAAATGGATGATGCCCGCTTGCAGTTGTAGTCGTGTTGAATATACAGCTGGAAGATTACATGGATTTATAGGTAAGGAGATACTAAAAATCATTTATGTATCATGAGGTTTTCAGAAGCTGGCTGAACATGATCCTGACCTGCATGTCCCCACTTGAGCAGTGGAATTGGACAAGATGATCCCCCCTTCCAACATAGACCGCTCTCTGATTCCATGATTTAAAACCTTGTCTGATCAGTCTTTGTTCAGAAAACATGCTCATGACACACTCTTATGATGAAAATACTAACAATGCGAGCCTTAATTTTTAGTGTCAGTCCTCCCTTTTAATACAGACATGTGAATCTTCTTGCAGATAGCTACTTGTTGGTGTCTATCAGTTTGATTGGTATCATCAGACAAAGTCTGGACTGATATTAGATCCCAATGAAACTTAATGAGCTCATTTCTCATTTACGCCCTGTATATCTAACATGGCTTCACAGAACTTTCTGAAGACATCATATTAGTTTGTGTGCAGATGCCCTTTGTAAGCTTACAATTGCACATTCTGCATTTCTACCAGTTTGCATGGCTGCTGTGGAGCCATTGCACTGGAAAGACCAATCTGGCATAGAAACAGCTTTGTGCTACTATCAGTGTGAGGCTGGAGCTCTGCTAGAACCCACATTGCCACAAGGGTGGATTGGTGCATGATAAAAGTGGGATCCCTCTCCTTCCCACAGATCTCCCTCACAGGCAGAGCTAAGGCCCAGCTCTCAAACCAGTGCAATTTAATCAGTACTCTTTAGATAACTCTTCTAGTGCCTGACATTGACAGATATTAATCACAAAAAGCCTCTGCTGGAGACATAGGAAGAACTAGAGCTCAATCCAACCAGATATAGTATTTTAAGTAAACTGCATCAGCAGCACATCTTTGCCCATGGTGATTCCTTCTGTACTTTTGCATATGATGTTTGCAAGCTGGGAATCGCCACTACTCAGAAGAGACAACAGAGTTCAAGCAATTAACACATCCTTTAAATTGATAAGCTCTCCTTATTTTTAAAAGGTATTAATGTTTCACATTGCAAAGAAAAGGTGGTCATAGATTTCACAAGCATTCCTGCAAATAATTCTTCCTATTTTTTCTGTTACCTATCATGATGGTAAAAAATGGTGGTTTCTGATTGTCACTGGGAAAAAAAAAAGAGTAGTATTTTAGGGATATTTTTGAAAGTGTTCTGCTTTCCCCTACTTCTACTTTTGTGGGACAAATTAATCTAAATATAACTGGAATTTAGAACTGAAAGTATCTTGATTTGTGAATGTTGGTGCTACACTCAGCAATCATCGGCTTCTTCTCGGTAAGTTCTTGAGGACATTTGTCACCCTGGGATATGGGACTTCAGCAAATTGTATTAACATGTTGCATGTGCCCGCACTTTGTCACTTAACCAAAATTAGGACAATTATAAAGAAGACAATTATGTCTCCTTCCCCTGGCAACCACATTCTCCTGATACCTCAAAATACATGGATGTCTGAGCGGTGCTGATTACTGTTGAGTGGTTCTACAGTGTTTAAACAAGGTATTTTTGGTGTTTGGGCTGTTCGGGGTTTTTATATGTATGAAGAGCTTAGTTTCAGCCTGGCCCTAGGAAACCAGCATTTCTACGAATGCTACCACCAACTCTGCTGTAAAAAATATAAGAAAAGAATTCAGCAGTGAAGGTTTTTATCACTAATGATAACTGCTTTTTATTTATATGTCTGAAATACATCTTGCATACTCCTTAATGTAGTGGTTCTGATAAATGTTCCAACTCCCACACAGAGATACCTACTCCAAGTACAGTTGCACAGAACAGTGAGCTGCCTACACTTACAAAAACGCCAGCTGAACTCGTGTTTTCCTGCAGGCTGTTTTTAGTAAGCATGAAGAAATGTAGTATAGACTTGTCATGGGCTTTCTAAGAACACTTCAATATTCTCATGCCTTAATCTGGCTGGATAGTGAGGCCCTATCTAGACTGATTTCTTGGTAGTTTAGCCATATTTGTCTGGCCAGTGGGCAATGAGGATTCCTTTACAGAGACTGTCAGGACATTATTTGAAGTAATTTCTTAGTAACTAACAATCCATTTCCGGAGCTGGAGGTGGTCTAAACTGAGCTCCAAAGTGACCATTAACTTCTTCTCTTTCAAGTAGAGCCAGTGATTATTTTTTCCCTCTGAGTGCACACTTGCATATCTTTACAAACAGGGCACTGTTAGATTTCTACCCTGCCATAAACTCTGACTGTAATACCTCATCTGCTACTGACCTCAAGTGAACTCCGAGGAGAGGGAACAGTAATAAAGCAAAACCCAGCAAACAGTGTGAAGCTTTTGTAAGATCTTATATAACTGAATTGGCTATATTGGGAACTTGTCTTTGGTTTTAATTATAGATTTAAGGGTGCACTTTTCAGGCTCTGTGCCATCTCTTTGCTCCCTCCTTTCACTCTTGATTTGCTTTATATAATATGCAGCCACTACAAAAAGGATGTTTTTCCCCCTTTCTTTCAGGAAGATGGGAGGCCGACAGAAGTTCACTGGGGGATGGGGTTGTCTAACGTGTTAATTGTCTCGTGTGTTGCTCTGGTCTTGGGCTTTAGCCTGGTCCCTCCAGAAGGTTTCAAAGGCCAGCTTGTGAAACCCCAGCAAAAATCTGTGGAGTCCCAAAACTGGACCCTGTTTTTTCCTAAATGCAGGGTTGAGTGACAAGTACCTCTTTGAGCTTCCAGAGAAGTGTCAAGAGAATAACAATCCTCAATTCTACCCAAATCTATCTCTTGCTCACATATATCGCAGAACACACAAGAATTACTTTCACAGAAGCAGATCCAGGGCAGATGCAAAGCAAAGATGTCTTTTGAGGGCCTCGTAAGGCATTAATGAAAACTAAGTAGTGATTTGAGGAAACAGGACTTACATGCTCACATTTAAAATATAACTAAGTCAGTTTATATTGCTTGAACATCACTTCTCAGTTTAATCTTTAACTGCATTGGTATTCATCTTCCTGGTGACTTCTACCTCTCTAAGCATCTGTTGTGTCAATTGTTACATGTGCATAGGGAAAGAGGCTTGTAAAGCAATAGGGGAGCTGTCCCTCAGAATTATCCTGGCTGTGCTTTAAAGAGCAGACACCTGCTGCCTCATTTGAGGGGTCCCAAGCTGAAAAATCAGGTTTCTGAATCTGTTATTTGTATCAGGAGCTGGTTCCCCTGAAGGTATAACTGGAGTTAACCTCCTTACTGCATCCAAGAAGGTGCTGATATTGCTGGTGGCTATCGCCCCTGATCCAGCTTAGATATCTCAAGCTTTTTTTTTTTCCTTCTCCTTGTGAATTGTCAGTGTTTAGTAAAATCAAAAAAAAGGTGTCACAGTGTGAGCTGAATTCCTTCAAGTCAGTGAACTGAGCAGTCCTAATCTCCACTATCCATAATAAGGGGTCTGGGATGCAAGAATAATAAAGGTACTGGGGAGGAGAGCAGGGCACCTGCACAGCTCAACATAAAGACAACCCAGGTCCACTAAGGCTGGCCTACAGCCTAGATCTAAAACAATCTGCTTGCCTTCCTGCTGTTCTAAAACCCAGGTAAAACATAGCAGGGAATTAAGAGCTCACTGTCTTGATAGCTTTTTTGGTCCTAGAAGATCCATAACATTGTTCAGTCCATCTCTTATATTACAAATGCAACTGCATATCTCATGGTTACCCTTTAATTGAGAAGAAGTTAGAAATATTGCTAAGAAGGACAGGAAAACCTTGGAAAAATGGTAAATCTGATTTTCCTTTTCAAAAAAAAAAAGACTGCTCCTAACCTAACTACTGCTGAACAGACAAAATTTCAATCCGAAGGCCTTACAGAAGCCACTCCAAAACATAGTCTAGGCTCCTTGATTTATACATGTGTGTATCCTCTGCAGCAGAGTAGGTGTTCATCCTTGCTCCCAACACTCAAATGATGTCTCTGCATCCAGTTTTGCTTTCTTTTTTGATGTTTTCTTCTCCTAGGATGTGACTCACTGCTTTTCAGAAAGCAGAGCCTCTGTCTGCATCATTCTACCTGCCAATCCTTTATATCACCTGCTTGTTCCAAAGTTGGGAGTGACTCATTTTTCTCATCCAAACACATATGCACACAATGAGCTGTCTGCCGTCTAATGGCCCTTCACAGAAACTTATATGTAGGGTCATGATTGTGTTTTGTTTCACTGCCCATCTGTAGAGGACAGTCTCTATCTGTCTCAGGATTATATTGTTCTGAATGATTTAAAAGCTTTGCAAGTGAAAGCAAACAATCTATGTTGAGTTTTTTTCCCCTTCCTCCCTCACTAGCTAATTTTGTACCTATTATTTACTGTGGGAAATCTATGCCAAACAAGCAATCTCTGCATTTTGTTCTGAGTCTCATTTTCATTCTAAACTGTTACAGAAGTAAACTTGAACCTATTTGCGGAATATTTGCACACTTCTCACTCCCCACCTTACCTTAGGTGTTTACCCCATATGTGAAGATACAGTTTTAGTGGGTTCTCTTAAACTGCGTGGAGACAGTTGTGGTGGGGCTAAGGAACTCAAATTTATATATGAATGACTGAAACGAAGACATCTGCAGTGCAGACATCTGAAGTAGTACCCCTCTTCTTTTGCCTTTTTTGAGTCCATGGAAAGATGCAAGCAATTCCCAATTGGCTCATCCCAAATTAGACATCTTCCATAGGTCACACAACTTGCAATTAAGAAAAGCTAAACAGTTTAGATATAGATGTCTATATTTCGTAGATGTCCAACATTATGGTGTCTTACATAACCTAAATGTAGAAAAATAACTGGTAAATAGGGTAGAGGTGCTGCAAAACAGATGCATACATTACCTTTATAAGTATTATAAGATTATAACACTGTCACAAAACAGTAGCATTTTAATTTTAGATTTTAATTCCTCTACTTAGAATTCATCGTACCTTAGCTTCAGATATAGGCATCTCTGTATTGATCTAGACAGTTACACATCCATGTGCAAAGTTATATACTGTTAGAATAGAATCATAGAATTATTTATATTGGAAAAGACTCTTAAGGTCATAGAATCCAACTGTTAACCCAGCACTGCCAAATCCACTACTAAACCATGGCCCTGGGTGCCACATCTACACATCTTTTAAATACTTCCAGGGATACTTACTCCACCAGCTCCCTGGCCACCCTGTTCCAGTGCTTGACAACCCTTTCAGTGATTAAATTGTTCCTAACATCAAGTCTAAACCTCCCCTGGTGCAGCTTGAGGCTGTTACCTCTTGTCCTATGACTTGTTACTTGGGAGAAGAGACCAACTCCACCTCACTACAACCTCCTTTCAGGCAGTTTTATAGAGCAATAAGGTCCCCTCTGAGCCTTCTCCAGACTAAACATGGCCAGTTCCTCAGCCATTCCTCGTAAGACTTGTGCTCCAGACCCTTCACCAGTTCAGTTGCCCTTTCATAGACCGGCTCCAGCACCTCGATGTCTCTCTTGTAGTGAGGGCCCAGATGAACACAGTTAAGATTCGAGATGCAGCCTCACCAGTGTCAAATACAGGGGGATGATTACTGCCCTGACCCTGCTGGCCACACTGTTTCTAATGCGGGCCAAGATGCTGTTGACCTTCTGAGCCACCTGGGCACAAGCTGGCTGGTGTTCAGCTCTGTCAATCAGCAACCCTAGGTCCTTTACCACCAAGCAGCTTTCCAGCCACTCTTCCCCAAGCCTGTAGCATTACATGGGGTTGTTGTGATGCAAGTGCAGGACCTGGCACTTGGTCTTATTCAACATTGTGCAGCTGGCCTTGGCTCATTGATATAGTCTGCCCAGATCCCTCTGTAGAGCCTTCCTACCCTGCAACAGATCAACACTCTCACCCAGCTTGGTGTCATCTGGAAACCTGCTGAGGGTGCACTCAATACTCTCATCCAGATCCTTGATAGATATTAAACAGAACTGACCCCAGTACTGAGCCTTGGGGAACACCATTTGTGACCAGCCGCTAGCTGGATTTAACTCCATCACCACCCTGGTCTCAGCCATTCAGCCAGCTTTTTTACCCAGCAAACAATACTCCCGTCCAAGCCATGAGCAGCCAGTTTCTCCAAAAGAATTGCTGCTGGAAATGGTGTCAAAGGCTTTTCTGAATTCCAAGTAAAAGATACCTACAGTCTTTCTCTCACCCACTAAGCAGGTCACCTTGCCATAGAAGGAGATCAGGTTAGTCAAGCAGGACCTGACTTTCATAAACCAATGCTTCCTGGGCCTGATCATCCGGTTGTCCTGTATGTGCTGCAGAATGGCACTTAACATGATCTGCTCCATAACCTTCCCCAGCACTGGGATCTAGTTCCCTAGATCCAACCTTCTGGCCCTTCTTGTAGATGGCTGCCATGTTTGCTAGCCTCCAGTCATCTGAGACCTCTCCTGTTATCCTGGACTGTTGATAAATGATGGAAAGTGGCTTGGTGAGCACTTCTGCCAGTTCCTTCAGTATTCTGGGTTGGATTCCATCCAGCCCCATAGACTGTTGTCTCACAAACTTCTCCAGCAGCTTCTCAGAGCTGCTGGCAGGATCAGGAAAGAGGCAGATGGCATTTACCACTAGCACATATTTGCACTGGAAGGACTGCATTGGTAGGACTCAGACTGACTACAGAGGCTGAATGTATCTCAAGGCACATATGGAAGAATGGAACAAGATGAGGGCAAGATTTTTAATCCTGAGCTCACCAGAATTTTTTAACAGACCAGTGGGTTGGCTATGATCCTTCCTATCAGGAAACATAATGTTTTCTATTAGTACCGTGCTACTGTACTGTGCTAAGACCCAATAGAGAACGCCCAACTTCCCATCCCTAAATATTGGCAATAAAGAAAGGAAGATCTGACCCCAGAAAAAACTAACATAAGGAGGCAAATTTCTGTAGAAATGCTTAAGTGATTCCTCGGATAGCTGAGGATATCCGCTTCCCTCTTCTGTCTCTCAGCAACCTGAGGACAATGAGCTGAGCGCCTGTCTGTAGAAAACAAACCTTGACAGTTTGAATTTTGATGATGCTTTCAATGCTGAGCCAAACTTCTCACTGCTTGTTGTATAAAATAATCTACTTTGCTTCTTTTTGTGCTCTAGGGACCTTGGAAATAGATGGCCTTGGAGGAGCCCATTTCCCAAGAGAAGCAAAAAAATCTGATGCCTTTTGGGGCTCACTTGAATGAGTCATTGGCAATGCATCTAGGTACTGTTCTAGGAACAGGCCAGAAAGCAGATGGCATTTCAGAGCGTGACAGTCCTGCTGCCTTATTCCAGAAGTGGCACGTCCTGTGCTGGTCTGATGACAATGCATCTTCCTGCTAATTCACTGGGGTAGTGAGAATGGGCAGAGCCAAGGTGTGAGGAATATCCATATCATGTGTCAGCATTTTCAACACCTCCCTCTCTTCCTCCAAAGATGACCAGAGACAGAAAGCACCTTTTATTTCCCTGCTGGCCTTGTGTTACTTAGTGTTTCAATACCTCCAGGCAATATTTTTTTTCTCCTGCTTAGAAGACTGTCTTTTCTTTAATCCATTTATTCCTCAACTGCCTTTCCCCTAGTATTCACACTCCTTGAACACTGTAACGAATCAGCTCTTACTTATTGTTAAATCAGTGCAATTTTTTTACAAGACAAACCAGAAATGGGTGGCACAAAGTTATTTATCTCTTGTTCTACCTCTTCTTTTCAGGAAGCATGAAATATTTCTGAAGTTCCTGTACCTGAGAGGAACTCAGATAGAGTAAGCTCAAAGTAAGAATTAAAAACACTGCCTAAGAGACCCTCACCATTTTTTGCTTTCCAGCAAAATCTTGTTTTCTTGGTGACAGCAAGACAGGCTACCAGGACTCTCTCAGTAGAGTTGTTTGGAGGAACAAAGGTAGACATGGTCGAAATGCGTCAACGTAAGATGACATTTGTTCATCTAATGTCGCATTTCTCTGCTTCATATTTTATCCCCTTTATGATACCAATAATATTAGTTTTCTCTTAAGTTTTGGTTGTATCTCAATTCCATTTCAATTTTAAATAGGATAACATAAACCCCCATGAATATATCTAGTAAGTATTATTATAAGATTGTTTTCCCTTACCTTTTCAAGTGGAAATCTGAAATTCTATACAGAGGCAAGATAGCAAGGTGGACACATGAAATACAGTAGTAAAAGATTAATTTTATGCATCATTGTTCTGTTTCAAGAAACCTTTTAGGTTTGCAATATCGCAATATACTGAACTCCTGGGGATATTAAGGGGATGGGGAACTATTTCTATAATAGACCTTGGAACCACAGAGTTCTCCAGGAAATGCTGCTTCAGTTGCTGCAGACCTTTTCAGAATTTGGTTCTTGCTACTAACTTGTTTAGTGCCATGTTTGTGACAGACCTTTGAGTGCTTTCACCAGACTCCTGAGAATCCTGATCACTGCTGAATAAGATGATAACAGTACAGTTGGACACTAATTTTAACAAGCTATATTTGCAATTCAGGGCAAGAGAAATCATAGAATCATAGAACAGTTTGGGTTGGAAGGGACCTTCAAATGTCATTTATTCTAACCCACCTGCAATGAGCAGGGACATCATCATATAGATCAAGCAGCTCAGAGCCTTGCGCAGCCTGGCCTTGAATCTCTTCAGGGATGGTGTATCTATCAACTCTCTGATCAACCTGTTCCAGTGTTTCACCACCCTCATCATAAAAAAAAAATAAACCTGAAATACCTTGGCTCTCCGCTTCAATATTGGTTTGGTGAGCTTTATACATTACAACCATGCACAAACACATATGATTCTGTTGTGAGAAGATGGCAATGCCTACAATCACTACATGGTTTAGAATTTAAGTCCCCAGATGGCCATACCATTCAAAGTTCACTTGCATTCTCTGTCACTTCGCTACCACTGAAAGTTTCCCAATTAACCACAAGTTGTTACAGTGTGAACCTGCTTTTATAAAACTGCAAAGAAGAGAAGGGGAAGAGAGGACAGCTTCTCCAAAGGCCCTGCAGTTTACCTGGCCCCAGTGAACCCACTCTGTGGGAGCTCATTCCTGGGGTGTGCTTATGGGGTCTGCTGACCACAGCATTGCCACCTGTAGCAGCAAGCGGGTGAAGACATCTGTCCTTCAGAAGCAAAGTGGGACCACCAACTGTTCCCACAGGTCAGTGAGCACAAGCCTCAAGATGGCTATAGGTATTCCTCTCCACTGACCTGCATGATTTGGTCTAGTGACCTATTGCTTTTGCTTATTTTTTCAGGTTATAAAATATGCTTATCCAGCCTCTATAAGCAAGTGTGCAAATGTGAGAGCTGCAGTTCAAGAAATCCACTCAAAAAATGCCAATTAAAGGGCTGCTAACCAACCCTCTCTTGCATTTAAGCACCTGAACCCTTCTAAACATACTTAGAGGTGCAGAATTGCACATCCTATTAAGAACCTCCTAAGCTAGCCTGGCATGCTAGGTACTGTGTGAAGATTATAATCCTCTTCTTTCTGGGAGTAACTTTATTACCCCAGGGAAGCAGCTGAGTCAAGATTGTGCCAATATTTCCAGCATAGCATTTGCTCTCTTTTTTTTAAGTCTTGATGAAAAAGAAGTCATTTTGCCCCATAATAAAGAACCAAATAACTTCTCGTGGCAGCAGATTTTGTTTATGATTTTCACACAAATATTTTTGACAGCGTTGACATTTTTACAAGCATGACTAACTACACATTTAGCCAGTTTCATTTTTTATTTTTTGGCACTTAAATGTGCTAATGTAAGCTGAAGAATTCCTAAGTCTGGCAAGCAGTTTACTACATGCCAGGGAGTGTTTTCATTTAGTTTAAAAGAAAAGTAGATGGCCAAAATACTGAATTTGAAATGGCACCTGCTGAGCTTGCATTGCAGTGACTGTAACAAGGATATTCTTGTCACAGAAGACTTCCTTGGGAGCTGGTTTCATTCAAGACTTTATCCCACACTTTGTGGTGTTGAGCACAGCACAGATTTTACAGTTTTGGTCTCTTTCTCTGTGAAATGAAGTTCATTACCTATTTCTCATGAGTATCTGCAGCTTAAATCATTCGTACTCATGTAGTGCTGAGGGAGGAAGGGATTTCCTCCCTCAGGGAGGCCAGGTTGGACAGAGCCTTGAGTGACATAGTTTAGTGTGAGGTGTCCCTGTCCATGACAGGGGGGTTGGAACTACATGATCCTAAGGTCCTTTCCAATCCTAACTATTCTATGATCCTATGATTCTATGATTTGGAAAGAACAAGAGGGTGTCTGCACACAACATGGGTATTTATGATGCTCACAGGTCTGCCTGTACATGGCTTACCCAGGGCACCCAGCTAAGGACACAGATACCTTTACTTGCCTGGAAATTTATTCATGTACCTCACTACAACATCTGTCCTGCTCATTGTGAATGCCATTACTTTTCAGGAAGCCACCTCCACCAGCTGAGGGAATACCCTGTGCTTTGCAAATCACCCAGCAGCACTCTTACTAAAGGAAATGTTTCTCAAGACTTTCCTGTCTGTGCTTAGTGGTTTCTCTGGTGGTGACACCATACTTGCAATATGTGTGCTCCAGAGGTGGTACCTGCCAGCACCTCCCACACAGCAGTCTCTAAGAAATTTGTTTATTGTCTGGTTTAAGTACTAAGGAGATGAGTAGTGGCTTGGAAGCTGTTGTGTGCAAACTGCAGACAAATGCTGCCATTTATGATAGCATCATCTGACAGCTTTAATGAGTGTGATAGTCATGTGCTACTGACCCCACAAACCCCCTGTCACTATATCCTGCTGCCACCTTTAGCTCTCTCTGCCCACTTCAGTATCTTCTGCTTTTTAGTATGCCAGTACTACGCTCCTGCCGAGCAGCTGCCTGTTTGGCATGACTCATGCCAGACATTTGGCTATTTTGGACAAATGGGGATATGCTATTTATCCCAAATAGCTGCCTGCCTTGGATAGCACATTGTCCTGAATAATGGAAGTACTATCAGCCTAAAAATCCTTTAGAATTCTTCTGCCTGCACCCACATATCGTGGCAAAGAGACCAGGAAATAACATGCAAATAACTATTAATACAGCAGATGATGGGAGACGCACTTTTGAAAGAATAACTTGGTTTGACTTGGTTATAACCCCATCAAAGCCAATGAGAAAACCTTCTGTGCGAGCAGGGTCTGTCTGGCAGCTCCTCCAGAGCCCTTTTCCCAAAACCTGTAGAACCCCTCAGAAAAGGTGCAAGTACCCTAGAACCCCATCATTGGTCCCTGGCTCCCTGCTGGAAGGCTTGCCATGAAAATTTTCTGGGTATTTTTAAGCAGTTGATTCACAGACTGGAAAGAGCAACCTTGGGTTTGAAAATCCAAAGGAGATGTTCTGCCACAGGCAAACACAAAAAAAACAAAACCCATAGTTTCAGCAGAAACTAGGACTTCCTTTGCCCTGTTTACCTGCGGATGTCATGTACAGGATGTGAAATCCAAGGGGTTTGCAGTATTTTATCACAGATTTTTTATGTATTTTATCACATATTTTATCACATATTTTATGACAGTTTACAGTATTTTATCACAGATTAAGGGGAAATGAAAAAAAAACTGTCTTGACACAGACCCTCCTGGGAGAGTTTTGGATATTTTTTTTTTTTTCACTAGGTTTCACGATCTTTTAATGGACCTGTTGTAAATTATAGTAAATTGTTGCCTAATGATGAATGATGTAGTTTGCTAATGATGGATTTGGTTACAGTGTGTGTGTTGTAGAGCGAGAGGTGATTTTATCTTGTTGTGATGGAGGACTCAGGTTACCAAGAAGTCTTTATACTCTTTATCAACTCACCAGTGGAGCCACCAGTTTAAAACATGTGTTTTATACTGTCTCCTATAACTATTACTGATCTTTAAACCTGATTATTGCAGAACACTGTTGCCTTATTGGCCTGTTTATCATTGTTTGCATCAACCATATTTCCATGAGTTTCAGGGTGTGGGGAGGAGAAGGTTTGGTATGAAAAAATGTGGGGTGAAACCTGAAGAGAGATATATAGATGGACCAACAGCAGGGCCAGTGCCCTTGGTGAACATAAGGGTAAACTGGTGATAGCTAGTGGTGGTAGCTAGCAAAGAGAATCTCTAGTGAATAGAAGACTCTCACACGGATTAACCTGCCAGGCTTGGTTTTGGAATCTGTTCTGCATTCACTTCAATGACTCATGGGCATCCCTTCCCCCTCCTCATCTCGCTTCAACAGTTTTCATTTATTTTGCTTGTGCTTGGAAAAATATGTTTTACATTTCTAACATCCTTTATCATTTCCTGAGATTTAGTGTGTTATTTTATGTGTTAACTAGAAGGGTAATCTTTTTTGTTATTGTATTTGTAATCTAATTGGGAACCATGCCAATTTCCTATCAAATTAGATCCATATAATTTGGATACATGTATATGTAGCTAATTTACTATTCTTCACTAGCGTTATTCTGTCCACTGATTTTTCTTTCACAAACACTTTTTAAAGGCAGTTTTAATAAAACTCTTTAATATTTTATGTATTCCTTGCAGTCATGAAAAAAAAATCTTTGCCTGCAAAATCCTTTAAAATTTTAGGCTTAGATTATGAAATGAGTAAATGAAAACGTGGCATTCAAAGGCACTATTTTGCAAAGGTGTGTGAGATCTGCCACAATCATCTGTCTGCCTGTGACAATAACCAGGAGAGTTCTGTATCTGCCACCACTATCTTTTTTTGCAAAAAGGTTACCAGTGTACTATAGTCTATATAGAATTTTCAGATTTTGAGACATTTTATTATTGTAGTAACAGCTATTGCCATTCCTAGCACAGACCCTGTCAGAAGGTTTAAAAAATTTATGCTTTGGTTCATGAAAAAAAAAGGGGGGGGGGGGAGAAAAAAAAACAAAGGTCAAAACTTTTAAAATGTCACTTCTTCTACAGTTTTGCATAGAAAATACATTGAAGCAGTGGGAGGGCTCCTTGCCCATAGAAACAGGCTGTAAGAAAAGAATGTTATCCTGCTGCTGTAGTTTCCACTTTCACTGGCAGCTGCGGGCTGAGCAGAAAAGCACTGTGGGAGCCTATTGTTACCCCAGCTGGGTAATAGTTTTCTTATTTTACAGTCAGCAACCGAGGGGGGTTGGGGTGTCTCAGCAAAGTGCCTGAAAATATAACTCCTGCAAACAGATCACTTTCTCCTTCACTATGAGAAAGAGGGATCCGTAAATCTTTTATTTTGTTTGGTTCCTCTAGTAGGTA